ACAACCAAAGCGAAATAAACTGATAACTGGGCTAAAAGATGCCCAGGCAAACAGTCTGTGCCACGAGTGCCCAACAAGTGAACACAAAAAATACTACCCAAATCTGAAAGATGGGCAACCAAGCTGATCGATCCATATGTATAAGCGAGCGGAGACGGAGAGGGGCGTCGTCCGGGTAACAGATGTTCCTCTAGGAGTGGGGGCACCGATGTAAGCAAGGAAGTCAGTAGGTCGGTTCCCCTCGCGAAAGATGTGCGATAGCGGTAGCGGGCCGACTGAAGTGTGGATCTAATACGCATGAGTAGGTGTTGAATCTGCCACGAGTCCTAGTGGCCTGAGGTCAAGAGGGTGACAACAGCGGCAACATCCAACTCAGTCCAAATGTGAGAAGAGATAGATATTGCAATCTGGAGACCCATATGAAGCGCATGGATCTCCGCATCATAACTCGAGGTAGCCTGAAATGGGAGGTGGAAGGCGGTAATGAGATCTCCACGATTGTCCCTAATCAAGCCCCCTCCTCCGGCGGCTCCAGTAAGTCGATCGTAAGATCCGTCGGTGTTTAGCTTAACCCAAGGGGAATCGGGTCTCAACCAAACAATGGCTCTGGGGCGTGGGTGCTAGACAGGCGGGAACGGGGGAGGTGTGAGGCGGTGAGGTGGTGTGTAGCCTGTCCAGTCTCTAGGTGTGAGTCTGCCCAGAACTATAAAGAGAGATAGGCGTCGCTCGACCTGCAAAACATTGTGAGAGCACAAAAAAGTAATGCTTCTATGCTTCACTATTCCTTTCTGTCCAGATGGACCGCAGGACCAGACAAGGAATGGGGAATTCCACGTGTCTACGGTGTGTGAAGAAACTCAGGAGCTCAAAAAAGTTGTTTGTGGTGGGAAGGGATATGTGAGTATGTGGCAAAATGCTCCCACACTCTCCTCGCAACCTCACTCTCTAAAAACAAATGAGAAAAAGTCTTCGTTGGGAAATGTCCGGTCTCGGTGCACCAGTAACACCGCGAGGGGAAGGAAAATCCCCTCGTTTGCATCACAGCGTCAAGTCGGAATACAGCGCAAAAGGAGGCGCCAAAGGAAAGCAGAAATGGTCGGGGTAAACAGGTCGGTACCATTGGACCCGAAGAGGAGGTTAGGCCGGTCACTCGAAGATGTAATGTAAGTCTCCAACTCATACTGTCCGAACCATCCTACAATATAAAACTGATATTATGATTGAATGAGTGTGCAGTAAGTCTCAGTTATGTATTTGAAATGAATGTATCGTTGTGAAAGCCCACAAAAAAGGACTCAAAGGTTTCAATGAGCCTTGTAAAAACAACAAAAAATAAAAAGAACTCAAACATAGAAGAAAGATAAATTTATAAAGCCATAAAATTTGGAAAATCCTGGAAGTCTAAATTAGAATCTTATCAGAGTTGACAAAATAGAACCAATTTTTTTCTCCGTTATTGAACAGTTTTCGTCAGTGTTTAGTACAGAATTTTGTCAAATTTAATCCCTTGCAAACTGGCACCAACAGTATAGAAGTATTGACTTCACGATTAAAACATGGAAATTTGATGCAATAGGTATTTTTTTACCATTGAATACACGTGATTGGGTGAATGCATAAGTGTGTGAAATTTAATAGGAAAAAATTCTCAATGACCAATGCCATATCAATAAAATTGATTTTTTTCCTGAACTAAATTGAGTCTAGTTAAGTGATTTTAGAAACCCAAGAAATGGTAAATCACCTCTTTATGTTATCTCATTATGACAGCATACAAATTTATCGAAGAAAATACGTTCCACCTAATTGTTCCAAACCTACTTACTACTTAGGTTCTTTGTTAGTAAACTGTCAAGAGTTGGAGGTACTTTTGTAGCAATAAAATAAATTATAAGTTTGGAGTCTCGCCGGATTTTACTAATATCTCGCAGTTGATACATATNAAAAAAAAAAAAAAAAAAAAAATTATTAAATAAATCACGAAGTTAAACTTAAAAGAAAAGGTCGAAATAAAGGCATAATGAACTTATTACCAGCAATTTGGAAATCCTTGGCATCAAATACCTCTCATTTGCAAATGAAGTCTACAATGTAAAGAGTAAGGACCTTGTTTTTCAAGACATTTATTACTACAAACATAACAAGCAGCAGCACTGCATACCAAACCAATTGAACCACTAATGAAGCCATATGAGGTGCATATTCAAATGCTTGCATTGACCAGCTTCTCACTGTATTGTATGCAACAAAAGTTACAAAACATCAAAGGACCACCAATCTAAAGCTAACAATCACAAAAACAAACATAGCAAATGTTGCAGACTGAGTCCAATATTTCGAAGCAATCCAAACTCCATACGATCACTTATTTCTTTCCGAAAACAACAGCAGTATCGGGAAAAAGTACAGAACAAAAACAAACCTCAGATAGAAATTCCCAGGGACGATTTCAACTTCTCGACCTCCAAGTATACAGTTGAATAAGGCAAAAACTCCGAGAAGTGGCTTTTGCTGAGATCATTTATAGCAACGGCAAGTTTAGGGATCTCGAGTGTCTCCTCATGAGTCAAAGTCCTGACAAATTTTGCTGGATTACCGGCCCAAAGTTCACCGCTTGGAATTCTACGGCCTGGAGGAACAACAGAGCCTGCTTCAAGGATAGAATGTGTTTCTACCAAAGAGCCCTCCATAAGTATGGAATTCTGCCCGATAATACATTCTGGCTCGACTGTGCAGGATCGCAGCAGACTGCATGCGCCGATTGTGACAAACCTATCGATTGATGTGTCAGCTGGCAGACCTGTCAGAAATAGCAAGGCATTTTTTGCTGAAGTGCGTAATGTGTTTTTATTATTATTCATTGATGCATGGATAAAGATTTGAAAATGGAAGAACCATTCATGTGTGGTTCATTTTTATTTACATTAAAACACCAAATCAAAGTGGTAGGCTGGTTTGTAATAGGAAAATTAACGAAAGTGCAAATCACTCTGAGTTGATTATTTCAACCAAATACATGGTGTATTTGTTTGGGGTTTCGAGTGACATTTTGAGACTTTTTGAGATTTGAGACGTTTTGAGATTTTTAGGTTTAGGAGGAATCCTGTGAAATCTTTAAATCTGGAGGTGGGTTTTTATATATGGTTTTTTACTTTTGAAATCCCAACAAATTCTGAAGTCCTGACAAATCTTTAATGTAAAATAAGTTAAATATCTCGGGATTCTGTAAGACTTCAAAATCTCAAACAAATACCTCGAGACTTTTAAAAGTCTTCAAATTCTATAAATTATATACACCAAGATTTACTAATAAAGGAAATTCTGAACTTAAGAGTACTCAGACGAACATTTTTTGACCGACTAATGTCTTAAGATAACAAATTGAAGTGCCCCTACCCCCCAACCAAAGTCTGACTACTTGATCGATTCGAGTATATTAATAAAGGTCAAGGATAGAATATAAAGCTGTGTAGCAGTTTTTAAAGGGATATTTTGTGCCTTCTCTACCTGCTTCCTAATATTCACTAAACGAGCCCGAGAAATCCCTTTACTGGTATAAAGAATGAATACAAAGAAAAAAAAAACTATCTACTATCATGAACCTTATGTTGTGAAACTCATTCTCTGAACCCTACACCAAATGAGACTGTTCTACAATTGTACTCTTGGATACTCAACAGACTGACCAAAACAAGCTAATGAAGTCCCATTTACATTTCATACAATATATCTCGTGTTATTAAGTTGTACGGCATAAAACAAATTCTTAATTTGATAGTGTAAAAAATGCATTATAGTAAATGGTTAGTCATAACTTGCTACTCTGGATAATCTTGAAATGTATAACGTTATTGAGCAAAAAATAATTTATAAATCAAATACCTACTCAAGCAATTAAGTAAAGATACACCCTAAAACTAGGGTTGCAAATGAATCAAGCTGCTCGCTAGCACTCGAGTCAACTCTCCAAGTTAGCTTGAGTCTGACCAAGCTCGAGCACCTCGAATTTGCATTTGGGTTGAGCTCGAGCATGTAGTTTGTAAGCTCGAGTGCTCGACGAGCTGCTCGAGCATACATAAAATTGCCCCAATACCCCTAACAAGACTTGTTTTATTGAAATTTTAGCCGATCTCGAGCGCTCGCATTGTTTTGCCAAATCGATGAGCCTAAAAATATTTGGCTCGTTGAGCTTGAGCAACAGTCTATGCTCGATAAGGTCAATGCTTCACTTGCCAAATCGAGATGAGCCTAAAAGTAGATAAATAATGTTCGATTTCCCTATTAGAAATATATCATTTTGAGCATTGTTTTGCTAAAAATTCAATAACGAGTTATAACTTTTGTATCTGCTGCTGAAATGCAGAAGCAATTGATGCTGATATCATGACAAGGCAGTTCTTAGGTAATATTTCACAAGGTACCAAAGGCTTGTCATTCAGGCATTTTAAAAGAGGGTCCAGTATGAACTTCACAACAACCTTCTTACTGTATAGTGTAGGCCATAGAATACAAAAAAGCGCAGGGCATACATACAGAAGGACCTGAAGGAAAAGCTTCAATATTGTTTTGGTCAATAGCCCCAATCTAGTGGTTGGGAATTATCTGATGCCCCGAGGAACCTTGAACATGTCTCATGTATTTGCCAGTAATTTAGATCCCTAACTGCTGTCATAGTTAGGCAAATAGCACATACTTCAAAAGGACTGATCAAATGGACAATAGCATGGTACTGAAGAACAATTCTCTTCCTTAAAGACTGATTCTTAGCACACCCTAATTCCTCCAAAGTCCAAACTAGGAGATGCATACTACGGAAGCAAATCAGGGGGGAAGAGAGAGAGAGAGAGAGAGAGAGAGAGAGAGAGAGAGAGAGAGAATATGACGCCCAAGATCAAGTTCAAGTGATTGAATTATTATGAACAAGTAATAAATCGGATCCCACATACGATATTAAAGCAGCTCTAAAAGACTATTATTTGGATTTTCCAGTCAGTCCCAGTTTAGATAGCTAGTATTTTGAGTAAGTCAATGATGGAACCTAGTGAAAAGGCATACTAGTTTTTACATCTTAGTCCTCCTTATTAGATCATGCACCAAGTATCCAAAAGCAGATCAACTAATGCAGTTGCAAGATTAAACAATGAAGTAAGAATCTGTTCTTGTTGACCACTTGTTTTTCTTTTTTTGCATAAACTTTGAACGTTAAGCACAAAAAGAACACTGTATTGGATTTATTATGTAATATTCACCATAATGTTTTTCCATGCATATAGAGATAAAATCACAATCAAACCATGTCAATGCAAAATTGCCAACGGCATCAGTTTCGTCACAAAACCGGAATTTCTCATAGCTAAACATAATAATTACTGTCAGAAACAATGTAGTCTAAGAATTAACACAAGAAACAGCACAAGAGGTATTATTGCATTCCATTATTGTGTTATAAGTAACTGCGTTATTGATTGGAAATCACGTTGGGGCAAACCTATATACTGATCCTTAAAATCATTAAGATATTCACTATTTTACAACAGTAAGAAACATAATAACTTAATCAGACAAATACATGAAACAGTGAATGAAATATAATGAAAATAATGTTAATTTCTAACTAAGATTTCTTCACCTAATTATTATTTATTCACAGAAATACAACTCATCAAACATAAAGCCTTTATGTGAAACTCTGGATTATATTCAAAATACATTCTCTTAATTTCTATAGAAATAGAACCCAAACCAATATAGTACTCAGAGCTTCTTCCATCTATTGAAACTGAAAGGTCGCTATTTCTGTAATTTTATGAAAGAGCTAATTACCACTCGTTAAACCACATATGAAAAAGAGACATCGAATAAGAAAAAAGTCAGTGAATCAGTACAAACAATTCAGACTTACTGGAAATGATACAACTACAATAACATCTTGACCTCTTCTTATGAAGAAGCACATTATAGAGTAAGTAGGATAAATATGTTTCCAACATTGAGAACCAAAGTCTTAGTTGTATTCAGATATCTGAGGTTACTTCCAGATTTCATTAGCACATATCTACCACATGATCAGTTAGAAAACAAGTTGCCAATATTTTATGCTAAAATACAAAACAAGAGGAAAAAGAAGAATGCTTCATAATAAAACAAACACAGCTGAGAGCCACCATTCGATGGGAGCACAGAATCAGAGTTCAAAGCAAACATTGCGTCCTCCAATTTAAACTTACTTTCCAGAAATGATGTATACAATTATAATTCTCTCCATCTCCCAGAATAGTTAGGAACTATAAAACAACGGCAAAAGATAACTCCATCTTGTTCAAATTTATATGTACCACACAACAATAAAGATCTGGGCAACACCTAATAACGATGAGTGTTCACTTTCTTTCCTTACTTCTTCCATCAGTGACTTCCCCTCCACCAAACCAAAAGGCCTATACAAAATTCTAAGTAAACCAACATATGTTTATTTTCTAACACAAGGAGCAAATTTTCAGTTCCTGGAAAATGTACCCCTTAACACTATAACCACTGTAAAATGTAACGTTTTCACCTTGTGAATGATTGAAGCCAAGTTCAACTCCTACTTAACTGAATTACTTAACTCAAATATACTATCTTGTAGCTTCTCAAACACCTTATCTAGTAAAAATGGTAACAAGAAAATAATACAGTTTGGCTCAAGAAATTGGCGCATTGCCATCAATTAAGAAATGTGTCAAATACAAAGCATAGCAAAGATACATAGAAAATGGTAGCTTGAGCAAGAATAATAGGTATGAGATTCACAACACCAAAAATGTTTAAAAAAAAAAAACGTACAACCACCGATGTCGAGTATAACAGCACACATCAATACTGACCTGTGGGTGAAGACCAAGCGGCGTGAATAACACACCGTTCCTGCACATTGGAACAAAACCCAACAGAGATCTTGTTAAGGTCACCGCGCAAAACAGCACCGCTCCACACGGACGCGCCGTCGTAGACCACCACTTGACCGGCCAGTACGACATTAGCCGCCACATAAGCATCGACGGCGATCTTGGGGGACCATTGTCCCAAGGGTATGGTTTTCCTCTGTCCCCTGTAGTCCCATTTCACTCGATCCGGCGATTCCCTTATGATCGGATCTGGTTTGGTCGGATTTGGGGCCGATTGGACGGCCTGCGCTGAAAAGGCTCGTCCATGAAGGGTGGTGCAGAGGGGTCGGGGAAATATTCTTCTGGATGCGCGGGCTAGGGTTGCCATTTTTTCCTTTTTCTTGTTTACGTTCGATCTCTTTATTGCATAGAGATGGGAAGAGTTGTACACACACACCAAGGGAAATTACTGTTCGCAGATTTTGTAATGGAGCAATTGGATGACTCGAGTCATCGACATCAACACTTATTCACTATTAGTGTATTGACGCTTGTCCATAATAAATACAACTTAGATATGTGTCAACATATTAAGTAGTGGATGACTTTATAAGAAAACCATACGATGACTCAATAGAATTTTTGGCACAATGGGTGGGATGAAATTTTTATTTATGTAGATCTTATGTATATTAATCAAAATTTATATATTATATGTATGTATATAATATTTAAAATTTTAAGTTACATAAGGAGTGTATCATATTTTAAAATTTTGATTATTAGTATAAATTATTTAATTTAAATATAAGTATACCTAAAAACAAGAGTTCAACGAGGCTCAATAAACCTTATTTGCTAATGTTTTTTTTTTTCTAGCGAGATCCAACTAAGGTACGGTCATGTTGCAGCTACTCCACTCCGCCGCGGTTTGATGAACTTCACTTCACTACCTTCCCGCGCACGAAGCGAGGGCACATTTGGTTTGAAACTCTCTATCTTAGCGCAGGTGTACTGAACTTCTAAAGCAAAAGCTTAGGCTCATTTGGATCTCTAATGCGGATGAGGGTCGTCATCTGAAGAATGCATACAATGAGGCTCGACGTATCCGAATCAAAGAGCATCAAGAGTTGGAATTTCAAGGTGTCGCGCTGCGACACCGGGCACGCCGCGACGAGCAAGAAGGTCACGCAACGAGATTATGTCACGCAAGCATCACGATGGCAGAGAGTGGTATTTTTTTCAAATATGGCAAGAATTGAAGGATTAGCCAACCAATAGCATTATTAGATGTCATTAAAGAGACTAAATGGTATTAATTCAATTTAATTCTCAAGAGAAACATTCAGAAGACGATGGAGGTTATATAATTTCTAACAAAAATTTTAATAAAACTGTTTAGATTTTTCGCATTTTTATGTTACAACCTAATAATTTTTTTTTTTTTAACCAGTAACTGAAACTTAATCAATGATGTGCGTAATGTAATGATTAATTAAAGTATAATCATGTTTTTTTATTATTATATTATGTATTATTTATTACTAAAATTAATCAATTATAATTCACTTACACTAAATGATATATGAAAGTTCAATAAGTATAAAAAAATTATATTGCAATTTTATTATTAAACTATTTTTTGCTCTTAAACATTTTTGTAATAAGCTAATTGGTTTTAGTGGTATAACCAAGCCTCTTAAAATTTCATAAATAATAATAATAATAATAATAATAATAATAATAATAATAATAATAATAATCTTTAAAATAATTAATAGGTCATGATCCCTCAAATTTACAAAAACTACATGATTCGTTCATTTTATGCAATCAATATATAAAGTTTATTAGGTGTGCGTCGTTTTTTTTATTTTATCCATTTTTTTCATTTTGTTAGTCCAACTATGTCTGACATTAGTCTCTTATATGGAATTTGTGTCTCCTTTATGGAGTCTTTTGTTATGTGGTTCAGTAAACTGGTGGTTCCAGGCTAGTCACAAAGTCAAAATTACTTAATAAGGCACTTTTTTTTTATTATTCAATCACCACTTTTTGCATTTAGCAATTAAATTCATCAATTTTTCATTTTTCGCAAATTTAATCACAGGCGATGTTTTCAATGACAAGAGCTTGAGGTGACACTCCCAAAAATTCCAACTTGTCATTAATTGCTCACGTTCAGAAAATTTATAAATTAACCACATGCCAGAACACGATGTCGTTTGGACAAATTATAAAAAACTGGCAATGTTCAGTTTATGTCATTTGAAAGACGAATTCTATTCTTCTGCACATTTGGAATTTCATCACAAATGGTAAAAGAAAATGTCGTGTGTTTCCAGTGAAAAATCGATGTGAATTGTGTTTCCATGGATTCGACGTTAATTTACTAACTTCATACACGAATCAAAATCCAGTGTGGAGATATCGTCGATGCCGCCTTTGAAGTGTAAGTCTATAATTATTATTTTGGAAAGATGAGGTTTATTTCGATTTCATATTGAAATTGGAGATCATGATATATGTGCAATGAGATTTTATTCAAAAAATTTTGTGATTAGCTTGTTTAATTTTCTTAAATACTTTGTGCAGATTGATGATGAATCACCTCCCTCCTAAAAGACTTTCCTTTTGAAGTTGAAGTCTTAGAAAAGTATGTTGAAAAAACGCTTCGGATAAACTATAACGTGTTTTTTTTTTCATAATGAATATATATTCTCATATAACAAACCATTGCATATTAAATTAAATATATTTAATTTACGATAATGTAAGATAATATTTTGATTGATATGTCTTAAAAAAACTTATGCTAAAAGTATATGTTAAAATATATGTAAACTAACAGTTAGAAACAAAAAACTGAAAAGACAAACCAAGTAAATAATCTATCCCGTCATTATTAAAAAAGTAGTTCAAAATGACTAAACATAATCTTAACAAGATAGCTTTGTACAATTTTAACAAGTATTGAAAATTATACATGTTAATTAAATATTTTCTATTTCATAAAATAAACTATAATAAACTACCATGTTAAATTATACGTCATCTTATTCGTTGCTATATTATCATGTTATTATTTGTAATATTTCACATATAAGCGCACTAATTCGTTTGGGAAAAAAAATGATAAATAAGTGGATAGAAATTGATTTGAAATATGGGAGTCACCGACAACATCATGGGTGTGTTTGTTAATCACCATAAACTACCTTACAACTTATTTGGTTAGCTTATAAATTTTATATACACAAACGCTCAGAGTTTATCTCAAAATTTTCTTTAGAGCATCCGTAATGCAAGTGTAAGTGACCTGAGTCTTGTTGATGTGGCAGCAAGAAACAGAGTCCCGATCAACCTTTAATTCTATTTTAGACCCAATTAGAGCATCCACAATGTTTTGAGTCCATTAAAAAAAAAATACAGGCCACGTAGGAAATAGACCGAAGTGGACTGAGTTCTGCTGATGTGGCAATAAGAAAAAGTGACTCGATCTATCCTTAAGTCTATTTTAGATCTAAATAGAGACCTGATCTCATTGTATTAGATTCAATTTTGTTACTTTTATATATTTTTGTCCATGTGATCGAAAATTTAGGTCTATTTACATGTCACATAAGCAAAAATAGATCCAAAGCTTTGCAAATGCTCTTAGAAACCTAGTCTCCCTGCATTGGAGTTATTTTGTTACTTTTATATATTTTTGTCTCTATCATCCAAGACATAGGTCTATTTATATGACACATAAGGTCAATTAAACCCAAAACATGATAGATGGTAATTTTTCAAATAAGTCCGTTGAAATTTTTATTTTAGTTGACTTATCAACTAATTTTACCAAACACGTTTACCATATCAGCTAGTTTTTCAGTCATTAGTCATAACCTATTAACTATAACCTCGAAATTCACTTATAAACTATCAATTAACTTATCAATCATAACCTATCAGCTATAAGTTCAAAATTCACTTATAAATTATCAGTCAACTTATCAACTAATTTATTAGCTATAAGTCAACTTAACTTATCAAGTAGATTTAACAACCATCGCCCAGCTGCATCTTTCTTATTAATCAGTTATCCCATACAGGGACCGAATTACATGAGTTTGTTAACTTTAAGTCTTTTTCATTAGTTAAAGATTATAATTATTTCTTGCTTCTTTCTTATTATTATTGTTTTTAGTGGAAAGATTTTTGACATTCAGCACATGGTCCTGTTAGCATTATAATGCGACTACAGAGACCAGAGTGATTTTACAGCAGCAAACTATGTATTACCAAATGAGGCAAACTACCTGGATCAGACAACAGCACCCTCAAACAATAGAAGCTTACATGATTTCTGATTCAAACAAAGAATAGCTAGTACTCATTTCTTTATTGTATGCAATAATTGTTAGTTGTATGTTTGTTGATACATGTCCAAAACATTTAACAAAAGAAGCTGACAGATGAAATAGAACACATTCCCTACTCCTAAATTCACAATTTCACAGAACATCATCCTCCTTGACAGAAAAACTTCCCAAAAGCACCGTTCTTGGAGGGCTCTCTATCATTAATCTCGCCTACTCAAAATCCAACGACAGCTGTTTTCTTTTCACCTGAATCAAGCCATCGAAGAAAAATTATTTACAGCAGATAATTACAAAAAGAAAGATCTTATCCTATCTAAGCTAAGCTGATTAAGCCAAGCATATTCAAATGTCACTAGATATGGTACATATTTTAAGGATAATCCTACTTGACTAGAATATTGACGACTCGAAAATAGAACTTATGTCCAACATATGGCTGCGTAAAAAATTAGAATATTGAGATCTGAATAAGTCTGATCAGACAAACTACCTTAGTCTCAATCGTTAGCCATGATAGCATCACAGATTACAAAATGCTCAGCGAGTTAAATTAATAAAATGTAAGTAGCATATGAAAGAAATTTGGAGCGAAGTTTGAGTTCAATGCCACAACAGTTTTACTTGGAGGCTTTCGAGGCGAAAGGCAGCAGGGTGCCACATATGAGACAAGGAGAACAAAAGGTACCGTTATGTTATCTCCACTAATGAGTTGCTACCATCAAATATCTCTCTACCTCACACTTTTAGATTATCTTTCATACTTCAATCTGCTATCTAGAAACAAGTGATATAAGGTATAAGATTTATCCATATTTGTTACAATTGCCAAAACAAGTTCTTTCCAGTACAAAGAACAGAAGATTATGGGAGTATGTGTTCCTTGCATGTTTGTAAAAATAGCCTAAAAAGCTCTTTCGGGTACATGAAAACTTCTACACGGTGCTTTGAACTTCATCAAATGATACTGTATCTGAACTTCAAGTTGATGCTACGTTCACCCTCATACATTACCAGGCGAATTCTCTATCCAAACAATAGAACTGCATTTTCCCAAAAGCAGAGTGACAAGTGCTAACCGAGTGAATAAACTGAGGATTTCTTTATTTTTTTTTCAATTAGATACATATTAACCAAAACCTTGTGTTTCTATGGTATTT